ATACATACATACTACGCTATTAAATAATCTTTAACTACTTAAAAAATAAACCAATCAGTGGCGCTACAATCTCTTTAGGTCTGGGCCTCAGATCTCTAAATCTTTTTCATGATCATTTTTCAATCTAATGGGCAAGTAATCAGCCTGACACACGCCGTCGACTTTTGGTGTCTAAGACATGTCGGTCTCCTCACGATGTTTTCCTTCACCGTTCGAGCGAATGTTAAATGCGCACATAGAAAGAAAGTCCATTGGTGCACAGCCGGGGATCGAACCTACGACCTCAGGGATGAGAGTCACACGCTAAAGCCACTAGGCAAACACTGCTGCCTTAAGTACTTAGAAAAACAATTTTACGACAGTATACCTTGGACACCATACTGCAAATGTGGTGCTGAGTCAACTAGCTGAGAGATCGCATTGAACAGCCCCTTGTAATCCAAGTTAGGGTAGAGACCCATACGTTCCGCATCGTTATCCGCATCTCTCATCATTTCGAGAGGGGACTTCGGCACATCTTTCAGTACACCTGGAATTTATTTGTATATAATAAATATTACATGCTATAACACGAATATTCTAAATAGTTAAGTTTAAAAATAAAAAAACAAAAACAAAAAAATGTTCTAAAAATAAAAAAGGGTTAGAAAGATAGATAGTAGCCGATTATCAGACTTACTAAATATGCATAGAAAATTTCATAAGAATCGGTCAAGCCGTTTCGGAGGAGTATGGGAACGACGATTGTGACACGAGAATTTTATATATTAGATTTTAGTTCAATTGTTCACGCATTTAATTTATTCTAGTTTAAGCGGCAGGTTTGATTTTTCTACTCAAAACCCTTACGAATAAGAAAGTCCATCTTCGCTATAAAGCTTAGTAAGGTAAGCTATTACTTGCTTATTATGAAATACTTACTAAGCAATGTCTGCGAGAAGTATTTAACAGTGTTCGCGATGTCAATACCGGATGGTAGCGGCTGAATGTTGTGCATCAGACGTAGTTGGCAGTCATAAAGGCTGCGGATCTTCGCGGTGACTGTGAATAACTCTAGGTTACTTTGATTGTTGGTTCCTAAATATAAATTTACATGCAAACTACTAAAAGATATGTGAAACTATAACAAATTTTTATGAGACCGGTAATTTGTAACCATTAGCAAAGGGGCTGATATTATTGTCATTCATCTTTTAAATGTGAAACTTCTATTCTGTAATAATGCAATAGGAGTTGCACAAAAGTATGTCTTTGTTGATGATACAATGCCAGTACCCAGTTTGATGTTTGGTTGCCTTGGGTTTAAAATTATTAATTTTCCTACTTAACTACAAGATCTATTCCATGCAAGAATTGTATAAAGAAGAATAATGAAAATAAAAATAATAGAATTATTAAAATAAAGCAGTAATGAAATTCAGCATTTGATTAAGTATGCACAACTCAATTTTTGTATCACTTTCTCATATATATCCAAATAAGTAATCATTATTAACATGTAAATTATTAAGTACATATAAATAGCGATTACTGTTTAGTACAAAGATAATTAAAGTGGGATCATTCTAATATATTATCATATAAACATGCATATTTTGTTTATGTTCAAGAGTAAACTGCTTGCTCTTTTAGCTATTGCCAATATTATTATTAATTAACTTTCTGTAATCTAAATAAACTCTAAAAACATCTTGTATAAGAATGTATGTAAGTGCAACATTGGTGCAGTGAATTGATTATGTAATAATGATAAAATGTGTAATCTTTTCAAACTAGCCTTGCGCCTGCATCAAAAGAAAGGTGAGCAGATCAAATACTTACAAATAAACATATATATTAGTAATTGATGACTTGTTCTGCACTAAATCTTTAAAACCTATTTACATAAACCATCTCTACACTTGTCTGTAAACACATAAAAATAACAATGGTACATAGGGTTTAACACCACATAGAAAACGACACCAATTTTTAACACTGAAGTCTGCATTCGTTTGGGTACACCATACAACAATAATAGAATTGCCATCAATACTAAAAATGATTTAAAATTTTGAAAAGTGCTCAATTTAAAATGATTAAAGAAATGGTTTAGGATACTTAATCATTACAGTAAAAAGATTTGTCTACAAAGAGTGGGATAAGTCAATCTATCCTAGACAGTTGGATGGCAAGACTAGAAGAAGGGTGACAGACATTTAAGGGCCACTCGCGAAGCGTGCCACAGGGCTGAGGGTGCAACAACAAAATAGCTCGATTGAACGAGCTCACCTTTCTGATTCAGAGGCTCCAAGGCAAGCTGCATTTCGTATGGCTGGGTGGTCTGCATTAGGAACACATAAAAAGCTTTCACTACGCAAAATGCCGCAGCGAACTCTGAAAAATGAAATGCGTTAGTCATGCATGCAATTTAATTGAGCTTCAAAGAGTTATTATGGTCTTACAGGCAGCCGCCCGTGTCCCCATGTTAATCAGTTGAATCTTGAAACTGCCCTGCATTTGTCTTGAGTGACACTCGCGGACGGAAACAACTAATCGATAAACCCGATACAGGTTTAAATTAGGCTAGCGCGGTTAGCTGGGTGAAAGAGATAAGACCTAGTCTAGATTTTCCATTCTCTTCAGTCTATCGATCGTTTTCCACTTTCTAGTCTAGTAAACACTTCCACTTATTAGTTTGTAAATGCGCGCGCAATTCCTGATTCTGGTCAACTGTCAACAGTCAAATCATAAATGAATTATGAAAGGGACAAATCTATTTTTTTTAATTCACTCAATGGGTAGGCCAATTTGTTTCGTCGATCATCGTTACTATTATACTACATATAATACCAAATCTTATTTTGCTCAAAAACATTTTTACTGTAATAAGCGATGTTTGAACATTTAATTTTTATGTATCCTATTCATGTAAATGTATATTATTTAACATTTTATGAATTGCGAACACACACACAGGCAATAGGGTATATCAAAGAAATTAAAGTAAATAGACAAATCAATGCTATGGAAAAGTTGTAACTCTCATGGTTATTACAAATTTTGACGTTGGATGAATTCGAAATGTTGATAAAACACCGTAAAAATCCGTCTCACGACTGACGCCTAGCCAAGGTAAGGATCCGATCATTAAATAGCAACGGTTTAATTACAAGCACGGCAATGTCGCAAATTTTATAATGGCATGGAATGCGGCACTTAAAAGATTTATAAAATTATCGAAAAGCAAGAGAGACCCAAATGTAATTTCAGTTGGTAATTTCGGAATTGCACTGGTCAAAATTAAATTTCCTAAAATGGGAAGTACACCATTATGATAATACGTCACATTGTATATATACGTATATATATACAGGGTGGTCCAACTAGTGACGTCAATATTTTTATTTTAGATTCCTCACACCTGGAGGTACCTATACGAAAATACCCCATGTATGTTCCGCGATTTATTGTAGTTTTCGAGTTATACACTTTTTGTGTTTTTTAAATATTTTCTGCCAGCGAGGTTTCAAAAATTCATATCTTTTTTTGTTGTAAGTATTTTGCAGTTTTTTTCTATGAAATGATTGTCTTAAATGTTGTTCAAATAAAAAATCCCAGCTTCCTAAAATTAGTCAAAGCTACTCAAAAAAGGTTTTAAAGTTAGAAGTTTAGTTCTTAGCTGGATATGCCCAAACATTCGACTTTAATTTAAAAATACAAAAAGAAGTTTCCATAGCTTCTGGCTAAGTTTAAAAACTCCGCAGGGTTCTAAGCTACCAAAATCATAGAAAAAAAATGGTACTTAATTGGTCTTTTTTTGTTGTAATCGGCCATAAGAAAAATACCAAATATCATAAACCTTGTGTATGTATTTATACTTTTCATTTCTATACCTTTAGACCTTGAATATATTTTAAAAACATACTATATATAATTTATTAAGAAGACGTAACCATAGTAACGTATGGTCGACCATGAGTGTGAGTAGCGCCTTCCCCGTACGCCTCTACCCAGATAGTTGAGACTTATAATTTGGTCTAGACATTATTTATTCGTCTTTAGTAAAAACGATGGCAATTTATTTATTCTATTATAACTTTAAAAAGACAAAAACAACATTTTCTTAAATTTTTCTATTATATTTATAAATAGTGAAACAATAGTAAAAATATGTATAGATAAATACTAAAATATAAACTACTGTTGTTTGTTGCTAGTTTTTATATGAACCTTGCTGGGGGCTTAGTCAAGATGTATTAACTGTAGTGTATGTAAAAAGTCGAAAACTAAATTTGTATGAAGATGACAGTTCGTGGCGACAGTTTTTTTTTAATTGTCTTTGATTATATGAAAATGTAATGATGGCAAATTATAGTGATACAGAGATGGCGTTAAATTGTAAAGATAATATTCTGTACATACTCACAAATAACTTGTATTATTATAACTCTATTAGATCTGTAATAATAATATTAAATTATCTGTAACTATCAAGTATGTCATAATATAAGATCGACCTTCTCTTAAGTCTTAGATCATTTAGAATTTTAATGTTTTTGATTTATTAATATTAACTGATTTTGTATTTATTTTATCCCTATTTCAGAGCTTAAGATTACCATGCCCTAGGAGGTTTAATAAAGTGTACTTAGAATACACGGTAATTATTATAGGTAGGTAGTTGTCACATTTTTGCTTGTATGCTTAATTAAAGTTGACTTGAATTTTTATAATAATTCTGAATAAGAACGAAAATAAAACAGCATATTTAAAAATGATTTATTCATAAAATAGTCTAAATATCACAATAACAATAATTAAATAGTAAATCTACAAACTTTATATATAGGATCACAGAACGCGTTTACCGCTCTTATTTTCGATATGTACAGTGCAAAATATCACGTTCCATATTAAGTTCGCAACGGTCCACAATAGATTTTTAAACGAACGACAATGCTCGCTATAGTTTATTGACTTGTACCGTTGGCATTGAAAATAAACGGCCTATTATATCATCAACGATCCATAGCACCGGCCAACGCCTGTTGTATCACAAGCTGCTGGGCGTTTATTAGTTTTTTCAACTCTCTTACTTCCTGCGTCAGTTGACGTACATTCTCTGAGGTTTCATCCAATCGCGCCTGCAAACTTCCCAATCCAGAAGAATAACCGTATTCTCGATAGCTTGAGTCATTGTTGTTTTCATACTTTTTAAAACATGAATATGCCCCGGTAGTAGACCCGTTTGATGAAATGGTATGTCCATACTGCTTCCTCATTTTAGCTATATCGTAAGCCGCCATCATTATATCTCTAGGTAACCGTTTCTCGCTTGGATTTAAAGGTTTTACGCTCAACACGACTCTATACGCTTGAGGTGATACAAGTGCGGAAGAATGTAGAATTTTTAAAAGGCATTTGGGTAAATAGCCATTAAATAATGCTAATTCCATGTACGATATCAGTTTAGTTTGTCGAACGAGCTTAGAGAGCCCTGCTGTTTTTCGTAGCCCTTGGATGTCGTGAACAGCTATACCAACCAGAAGGTTCATCAGCACTACTGTGACAAACATAAGAAATAAAACATAGGTTATTTGCGCAGAAAATTCTAATAATACAGGCGGATCATTTCCATCCGGTTCGTTCAGTAATAAATCTAAATTAAGTTCTCCAATCATCATTGTTAGCACGGTTATAAAGCCCATAAAAGGGTTGGCAAACGATGAAGAGTCTGGAAATATTACGCAGAAACTTATTGTAAAGCCAATTAGTATGCATGAATAAGCCATCAGCAGTTTTGCAAACTCCTTTTGTACTTTCTGATACATAGCTACATAAGTCCCGAAGACTGGTAACTGGCCGATCATCATCATCAGATTAGTCCATCCAGCTAGAACAGCAAAAGCCCCAACATGGTTCTGCCATGTGTACGTGATATTAGTATAAATGTATGAAATCAAAAACACGCTAATGATTACGAACCATTCTATCATATTTTCCGATTGCATGAGGTATTGTTTGACTGTCGAATATCCAGCTATCCCGTAAACTTTCCTAAATATTTCGAATATTGTTATACCGGCTAATACCCACCACTGCATTTCTATTACAAAGGGATTTTTTCTAAGCAAGTCGCCAAGAATTGACTGTTTCTGACATAACTCTTGTTCTTGTATCGTCTCTTCCATGTCCTTGCTACCGTTATAACAGTTGTGTGCAAGTGCTGTCAAAACGTAAAGTGTAAGACATAAAACAAATATAAAACTCAAAAAGAGTCGCGCAACATAATATTTTCTTATCTTCTCCCACTTTATATATAGAAACGCCGAACATAATGGATGCAGCAGAACTTCCTTCTGGCCTTCATCGACAAAGGTGTTAAGATAACTTATTTCCCTCGGATAACAATGTTGTAGTATGCTGCGAAAGTCAAGTTCAAGTTCAACTTCTCGATTACTCGTCTGTGAATGGTGTAATGTGATAGCACAGTCCAATTTCCTCGTTATCATAGCCAGTGACGCGGGCGTCTTTCGAGCGATGACATTAAGTGCGGAGTTTCCTTTTTTAGATCGCGTTGTTACATCAGCTCCATGGTAAATTAATGTTTCAACGCAAGCGGATAATCCGTCAAGAGCAGCTAGGTGTAAGGGTGTAAAGCCGTACTCGTCTTTCTGGTTAACATTTGCCCCCCAACTAATTAAGGTTTCGATTATATCGCAAGCACTATCTGATTTTCCTATAGCGGCGTGAAGCGGAGTTCGCTTATCGAAATCCATGGCATTTGGATCGGCGTTGCCTTTCCTTAACAACGACTCCACACATTCTAAACTCGCAGATCTTGCTGCGAGATGTAAAGCTGTAAATCCTCGATGATTCTTAAGGCTGGCATCTGCCCCCTTTGTAAGGAGATAATCCACACATTCGATAAATCCTCCATCAGCGGCTAAGTGTAATGCTGTGGATTCTCGATCGCCAACTCTAGTCCTCACATTCGCGTCAGCATCAGGTGTGTCTAGCAGTATAATGAGGCATTGTATCATTCCCAAATCAGCTGCTAAATGTATTGCATTAGTTCCACCAGGCTCAATCTGATTGACATTGACTCCGTGAGAGATAAATAACTTTAAACATTCCACAGAGTTAGCCCGTACAGCGCAATGTAACAATCCGCCTTCGCAGTTTACGTACTTAACGACAGCATGGACAGACGCACCTCTACTGATTAGTAAATTAGCCACTTGCACAGAATTACCGAATGCAGCACAGTGGAGGGGTACAAAACATCTTGGCATGTAATTAGGATCCACTCCACTTGTTATGAGATAATTGGCGCAATCCGTAGATCCACTAAACGCCGCCGCGTGCAGGGGAGATAGTCCCAGAGCGTCGAAGTGTAATGGGTCTGCCCCAGCTTCAACCAATTGCGTTAATAGCGGACCTAGTTTAAGAAATGCTGCCCAAAATAAACACACGTTCTTTTCTGCTTCAGATGCTGTTGCAAAGATATTTACAGCCAGTTCCGATGTGATCACGCCTGATTCTAGTTCGTCAAGTAATCTCAGTCGTCCGCCGACAGTGCGCATCTGTTCATAAGCGCTCTGACGTATCGAGTCCCCACAGATATGCGCAGTTAAATCCAAGGGCGGTTCTTCGAAGCTATCGTACATATTAGGTGCACTTTCAGCTGGAGGTGATGATCCAGCAAGGACATACTCGAGGTGTCCCATGGAAGGATAGGCTCTCTCGAGGGATTCTTCATCTGTCGGTGCGTTCTGGGTTCTTGGCGGTGGAGCAAGAATCCTGGAAGGTCGCTGGCGACGCTCCATATCGCGAGGGAGGGACCTGTGAGCGACATCGGGCTCTTCTGGGTTTGGGGAGCGGCGAGAGCGAAACCACCGCCTGGGAAGCAAGCTACGCGATGTGGGCATGCGGGCGTTCTGTGCGGGACTGACTCCTGCACAACCATTGTGTGGTAATTGCTGATCAGATGAATCGTGCGCACCTTCATTGTTAAGCTGTAAACTCACTGTCTTGGAAATATTTTTTTGACGTACATTGGTACTTATCCTGCTTCTCTATTGAATATGCAAAAAGTTGTAGAAGTTGTAGTCGCGTTGAATGGATAATAGTTACATAATAATATATTAAAATAGTACCGGATACTTAGGTATGTAGATTTTTTTAAATATCTCCGAGTTATTCTGTATTATAATGCACACGATATCTTTAATTTCAAATTTTGAATCAAAACGTTCTTATTTCGTAATAAACACGTACATACTGTACTGTGTATAACTAGCTTTATTGAGAATCAAATGGATTAACAATGGTTGGTCGAGACGTTTGTTCTGTCTACTTTTTGCTTATGTTGAATGTTTACTGTTTTTTCACCGTGTTTTTTAAATAGCAATTAGTATGATATCTAAATAACTTTAATGGTGACTTAATAAGTCCTGCAGCATTTGATATAGCCATTTAATATGTGTTTTCCAAATATTTTGTATATACATGATATAGAGGACTAACTATAATAACAACTATTTTGCGTGTGTGTTAAGATGATCGTTCGTACGGACTCTTAAAAAAAGGGAGGCACAAACACACACTTAACAAATAAGGATATCTAGGTACCTCTGGCTTAATGTAATATAACCCTAAAAAAATTAAGAGCTCGCTACGGGACAATTTTTTCAGAGTCCATAGCACAGTTTTAGTTTATTAGATTGTATAAAAGTAAGTTGAGAGTATTGAAGCAATCTGAATAGAGATCGGTTCGTAGTTGGTTCGATAAATCTTGGTATCGTATTTAATTTGACAAGTACAATTAAATCTTTAAAACGTTAGTCAAATTACCTAGTGTTAGGACGTAGGTTTTGCGTTCCCATGACCTTGAACTACAATATTGTTCCGTTACGAATTGATAACAATAATGTATGGAAATTCAATCGATTGAAATGCTTGTCCAATTCAATTGTAAAGGCTTCCTGCCTTTTCATAAAGCCAAACAAATTTAAAGTAATTCCACCATAACTTTTTACATCAAATAAGTATGTAATTCCGTTTTTAAACAAGATACATATATGGTAGGTGCGATTATTGAATACTCGCTAATACAACATGTTTCGTATTCCGGCATAAGGGATTTCTCTTCAATGCATGTAACAATAAAGCGAGACTCTTTAAATTGTGTTATGATACGAGCTAACTTTACTAACAGCAACTAAACGGAATTGTTACTAACCCATTTAACAAAATACATAAAGGGTCTGAAATAAATAACTATTGTTTAATTTTATTAAGATTAATACTGTTTGAGTTTATCCATTCCAATTATGTAGCTATTTGTGCGCTTTATCCATCCTAATTAATAACTTCACCAATCCTGACAAAATATTATAGGCTATCTGTGAAGTTAAAGCATAAGGGTCCATGTGATCCTTATCCGGGTGTGTAGGTGTTGCGATGGTGCGAGTTATTCAAGAAATTCCAGTATAATTATGAAGTCGCCTGTGAGATATATCCTTCCAGTGATTAAGGATGATCATTACAATTGCTAGCTTCCTTTGTCTTGTTTATCACAATAGCTATTGCTGGACGAAAACACGTGAGATCGCGTAAAGATAAGCCTCTATAGCTATTATTTCTTATTCATAACTCAGTGTATATGAGCGACAGGTGCTTTATTATGGGTTACCAAATACAAGATTTTATGTTAATGATAATGATGACTGTGTTTTTCGATGTATATAAGCTTTGAGTAAACATCTTTCCTATTGTAGAACGCGTACCGAGGTGCCTTTTATGATATGTAGATGAAATAGAGTAAGCTCAAAGAAGCATTTGATTATTTATAAACATTAAACACAGGGCCGCGCCGACCCCCGGCAGCGCCTGTGTGCGAAACCCATGAAGCGCCTCCTATTTTTTTATAGGGGGGCAAACGAGCCTGCGGGACGACCAAAAAGGGCAGTCATCGCAGCCCATAGAAATTTTTAGTGGGTGTATTGCCGGCCTTTAAAATAGGTCGAAAACCTCAAATAAGGATCATTTGAGGTTTTCGACCTATTTTTTTCTTCAAGTTTCAATGTATTTTCTATTATTTGTCAATTTTGACCGAAAAAAAAATGTTCTTTAGTTTAATATAATTACTTAAATAATATTTTCTTAAGTAGGTCCGTCCGCTTGCTAATTGCCGTGAAAAATACCAAAAACGTGAATTAAATTGTTACATACTTTATTTATTATGTTATTATATCTAACTGTTTTTAAGGTCAGATTTATGACATATTTTTAAAATAAGTCCCATCTTTTAGTAGAGGGCGAAAAATATTTATATAATTCTTGCACAATATTAAAAAAACCCAGTCATGTGATGATTGAGGTTGGCAGCGTCGTTTACTATTATCTTTAAACTATTGCTAGCGCACAGTACATAAAAAGCGCTGGGATTTAAATTCAGCAATATTCTTACCGCGCATATTTGAGCCATTATCATAGCCTTGTCCCCTTAAATTGTTTATGTCCAAATTAATTTCGTTTAATTTTTCTATTATAAATGACGTTACTCCAGCGCCAGTTGTATCTATAATTGGACAGAAAGCAAGGAAATGCTCTCTTATTTCCAACTTTATAGTTTCCATGTTAAAATTGACAAACCTTATTATCATACTAATTTGCTCTTCGTATGAAACGTCAGGAGTACAATCCAGTATTATTGAAAAATATTTATTAATTCGACATAAATTTAAAATAAAATGTTGAATTTGGTTACCGAGTATAAAAATTACTTCATTTTGGATTTTATTAAGGTATGTCGGCATATAATAGAAATCATAAGACAAACACACTCAAAAAACTCACGGCGCAGCAGCCTTTCTTTTGATTCGCTAAGCTCTTGAGTAATTAACGTAAACTAAAACCCAAAGCGTAAAATGACACTTCAAACGTACGTAAGAATATTGTAGTGTAACATAAATAATTTCGGTGGCGGCGCCCTCATTGTCTTAGCGCCTGTGTGCACCGCACACTTCGCACACATGGGCGGCGCGGCCCTGATTAAACATCAAGTACAGTCAATACGATGTTTTGAGTATAGGAAGTATCTTCTTGCAATTAAATTTTCTAGAATTCATTAAAGTAATGGAAGTTTTGGAAATAAAAATATACATAGATTCGAAACATTTATTGATATACAGATCGTCTTAGGCTTATAGACAATGTACACATAATTACAATTAGTGCAATAACACAGAAAATATATCTTCAATATAGAAACTAATCGCGATTTTTTTATATATTTTGTATAACATATTTAATAATAAGTCTTATTTTAAGATCAACTTCTGAACAATTCTTTGTTTTCAAATTTTAATGTTTACAATTACTCAAAACAATGTGATAATGATGTTCGATAGTCAAAGGATTACGATTAGTTTCTTTACTGAACTCTTAGAAGTTACTTTAAGATGTTAGAGATGCAATACAAAATAAACTTAATTAACATTAATATTTTACATGAAAAACAAACAATACACATTTTTGGATAAATGTTTTCTATATAAACCTAAAATACTCTATTAAAGCTAATTTAACACTGACATAAATAAGTTTATATACAATACTATACAACACTCCCCCAAGTTAAAACTCTTAAACAAATTAAAAAAATATATGCTTTTAAGAAGTGAAGACATGTTATGGCATGGCACAAAATATATATAATGTTTCATAACAATGTTATCGGTGTAATGATACGAAAACTTAAAATATGTAACTTAGATTGAACACATGACGAAGTATCGTGAAAATTTTCAAGATTAACCAACAAAACTATTGTGAAAGTAGAACTAGCTAACATAACAGATGGCGCTTAAACAAGGTAAAAAAAAAACAAAAGCGTGCAATAATGAACTCAGAACTGGCTGAGTTCAGAGACGTTTTGTGAGAGAACTGATGCTTGACGCCATCAGCGAAGACACAAGAACACCACGGAAGATATACTCGATTATATAAGTAGCATAACAGCTGTGGTATAGAAGAATTAGTTATAGACAGAAACACATTTTAATGTATTGATGATTGAAAATTACCGTATATAATATACATACATGACAAGGCTGAAGTTGAAATGAGAATCTGCTTTAACGATAAATATTAACGTATATTAGGAAAGTTCAAAAGGATAGAAAGAATGGGAAAGTTTTTGGCATTATGAAATTTAAAAGAGTTTTTATGTACAGTATCTTTATCTAGATGATCTTTTAAAGTTAGTAATTACAAACAAATGACAAAATGCGGCAATATAGCCAGCATAAACAAGTAAGTCTATCATTATTGTTAATTATATGTATAAATGGGCTACTCAATCAATGTAACGAGTCTTCGAACCCATATGTAGAAACCATTGATTATTATCATACAAAAATTAGATTTAAAAATTTATATTAAAAAATAGTAAGTATTAATCACATTAGATGCCGTTGTAACAAATCCCATTGAAATTTAAATTAGTGTAACCTTAGAAACACCAGAATAATTGGTAGTTTTATTCTTCAACTCCACGAAGATCACATTATTTCTTTACTATCACTAAATCTCAAAGACAACATGAAAAATATAAATCGGAAATAAATCAATTTTGTTCCTTTACATAGATATTTTTGATCAGACCCTGGAGTACTTGTCTCCATCGTCAGTGGAGTAGCAATGATGGCAATGTAAGCGGTTGTGTCGCACGCGTACGTCTGCCCCAGCTCGGCCGTCTCCCAAGGCACCACCACACACGGCGCATGTGAAACACCACACGTGGTAGCAGAGCGACAGAGACTCGATTATCATAGCTGCACCACGACCTGGAAATTAAGAAATAACAAGTATTACTTTAGGGAGCGTTCTAGTGTTAGGTAACGAATTTGGGGGGTGTCCTATTGTAAAACGTTATGGTGCGGTTAATATTATTATCGACTGTCCAGTACTTTACAGCACATAATGGTAACTTTTAGGTATAAATAGTCACTTCGGTGGTCACGAAACGTTTTACTATTGGGTACAGAAAAACGTTACGGCGCGTTACATGGGGTTTAATAATCTCCAAAAATTGCGTGACGTAATACTTGAACGCTCCCTTATTTATAAAAACTTTTTACTATGACACTTCGGTCTAAGTTATTTTACAGCTACTATTTGAAAAATTTGGATAAAGAACAGCTATTGCAATTTTTAATTTTAGCAAGGGACATGAAAATACGAATGTTCTTGATTATATTTTTTTTATTTCTGTATAGACAAATTTGCAATCCTCAAATTGGTATAATTCGCGTTTTACGGAAGCACTTTAAACCATACCTAATTCTTCTCCACAATGCGAGCATTTCCTTTTCCCACTAACACTAAGAAGTTTGTCATCACGGTTTGCTTCAGGACGGTCACGGCTAATGTCGGGCCGGATAGGTCGCCGCTCTTGCACAACTTGTTGACTGAAATCGATAGATAGAAACAGTTATGTTATAATCAAATATAAAAAAAAACATGTGTGTGTACTTATGTACAGGCGTTAGAAGTTGTACTTCTTTGGCGTAACAAGATAAAAATCTTTTTAAAAATGTTATCTTTCGCCTTATTCTACGTTTGTAGAAAAACTACACTAACAATAGAAAAAAGGTATTTAAAAGGTTACATTTTTTTATTATAATGCTATCTTCTTAAATAAAGTTTCTTTAAATATCACAAAAAAAATATTTTTACATAATTAAAGAAATGGACATTATTTATTTTAAAATGTTGACTATGCTAACTTCAGGGTGTCGGTTTTTTGTGACAGTGTGCGCGGGCATCGTGAAAACTTACTCTCATCATTTTCCCTAACGCGCCAAAAGAAGTATAACTTCAAAAAATTTACCCAATGTACAATAAATGTTATTAATAATATTAACCTGTTTGCATGTGGGACGTTTTTGGTGGGTGAGAGATTGGGCGTGTGCGGCGCAGCAGTCGGAGCGAGGTCGTGGTATGAGTGACGTGCTCGCATCTTGTTTCGTTGCTCCTCTATACGACGATGTTCTGCCTCCTAAAAGCATTTTAAATGAATATAAGTAAAAAACATCACGTGATTAATGGACAGCCCCTAACGTAACAACAATAGTTAAGAATATACCTGTACAAGCCAATGTTGGTTATAGTTATAGTTGGGAGGTTTCTGTCGCGGAGGATTGCGGTTCTGCATCCACTCCGTATTTGAGATCAATTTTGGTGTAGGAGCTGCACTTAGCGCCTGGAAATTAAATGTATATCATCATCACATACGCAAACCTCTTTAATACTAGTTACTAGTAGTTTTTATAAATTTGAGGAATACTTAAATGATCCTAATCCTTGGGATTGATTTGCTAAAGTTCAAACAATTTGTATGACAATACTTGGCGATTAAAAAGAGTGGCGGAAAGTTTCTTGCCAGTTCTTCTTACCCGCTCTACGCCCTTGACTTGCGAACTGGTAGTAAACGTAAATTTACAATTAATTTAACTTGACAATTCATAAGTGTACTTACTACTTGTTTACCTATAAAGATATTTTGAGTTTGAGTTTTAATACTAGTAACTCGTTTTCTTCTTTTCATAATACTAGTACTACTCTTTGTTACTATACATAACTAAATGTTCAGTAACAAAATCAGTGTTAGAGAGTGGTTAGACATTGTAAGTAAGAATCCCGTTAAATTTACTGATCAATTATTTTTTATACCTACCCTATGTTGCGATCAAAAAGTTTTAAATACATACTTGAAGTGTGTGTCTGGTCATGGGATGATATTGCCCATTGGCATTCACAGGTTTCTGTCTGAGCTGGACACCGTTTCTATCAACATTCGCATACTCCACGGCTGACGGAGTTCTACTACTCCTGAAAACATTAACATTGGCTATTAACACTAATATAAAATATTTAAGTAATAGTTTGTGTCATAGTCTTATCTTATTTAATACATTTTTTCTTTTCTCATAGTGGTTGCCTGGAAGAGATCGCCAGTTGACCTTCTTTAAATTTAATTATGTTAAATTTTTATATTGTAATGCAACGAAGTGTTAGTAAATAAATAAACAGTCGATTAACAATGCGAAACAATGTTTGATTATGATAAGATACAGAATACAAATTACCTCATGGTGATCTCCCGTTCTATAGATTCTCTGCTTTTTGGTTTGGGTGGAAGAACTGGTTGGGCCGGTCTTACAGGTACTCTTCTGTCATATTTAGGTTTGTCATCGTACAATACTTTTCTGCTTTCTTCAACACCAAAATGATTCTCGATATGTTCTTCTGAGACGAATGGCTTTCGTTTCAAGCTCTCGTCTATGATAGGATTCTCGAGCAGAGGTGGTGGTTTGTGAATAGGACTGTGTTCAGCCAATAACAAATTTGGCATTGAGTGTCTGTAGTTCTGAACGCCTTTTCTCTTTTCTGGCGTACTAGCGACAGAAATATCTTGTATGGACTTCTGAATGATTCTGTGTTGATCACGCAGTAGGTTTTCCTTTTGCCTTCTTAATTCTTCTTGCTCGAGTTGTAAAAGTTCTCTTTCGAATCGCAGTACTTCCTACGTTAAATGTTTGTTTAGTAAGTAAATTTTTGTACAAGACGGTTAGTGAATGATTAGTGCAATAAGCGCATGGTGTTTTAATTACAGATAGTTAACAGGTGTTATCACATTTGATTTGCATGTATCTAACTCTAACGTAAGAACTAAGACCTATTCGTAACTATTAACACATAAGACACATACAAATCAAAATAAGACAGTAATTAAAATTTTAGTGAAAAAAGTTAATCACCTTTGTGTGGGCATCGTCAAAATGGCGCTCGTGCCAATCTTCATTAATGCGAGCCTGTGAATGTACCATGTCGGCCATCTTGTTATTTACACACACATAAAATGGCGGATGAGTTAAACTTTCACGCTGTTCAAAAAGTTAAATGAATGTTTAGATATTAATGTGATAGCATGAATTGTGAATAGTTAAACGCATTTTTAAGCTATGTACAGATACTACCTAACAAAATAAAGCGTTTCCTTTATAAATAGAAGAAAAGCGTGAAAAAGATTTTCAGATACATTATTTGATCTCTTAGGAGTAAGTAATAGTTAAAAATATATATTAAAATATATCGTGCACAGTGCAATTGAAGAGATAGGGTGCAATATAAGTGCAAATAAAAGGCAATATAAACATTACATAAATATTTATTACAGCCAATATCGTGCTCTTACAATTAGATAATTTCTAAACAAAACTAGGCTCTATTAAATATACAAAACAGATTAAGAAGATGCCTTATTAATACAAGCATTAACAAGCAGTACTGATGTTAGAGCAGCATTACAGTAATATTACTTTATGCTTAATATACCATAACCAAACTCGTGGATCGTAAGACGTGACTCAAGACAATCATATATTTGTATAAGAGGTCGGTGTTTTAAAAACGATAATCGAATTTCAAATTACGAAGATATGCCATACTATTTTCGCATATATCTGAACTATCACATTAAAATCTCATTTTTGTTGTTATAAATAAAATTAATTAAATAATTGTCTGTTGCTAATCGGCCACTTCTTACGAAGCCACGAAATTTGCAAAAAAGCGACAATCCCGTAACCGACAATTTGGTAATCACTTTTAACCTGACTTAACCGTTACTTACTTATCTACGCTACGCTTTTTATAAAGTTCTAACAGTTAACTCAACAATACATATATTAAAGATATTAAACTTAGCATGATAAAGTTTAACATTCCAACAAAAATGAAAAATTATTTATTAAATCTTCAAATCGTTTCACTATAGCGAGACGGGAAAGATTTTAAGCAGCATATTAAATTATAATAAAAAGTAAACATGCTATATTATAACAAAGGCTCTTGATCCTGTATTTAAATTACTAATTAAGATTTGTGTAAGAATAGACTAGCTCGTACGAAACTAAAGTCTGCGAAAACGTTCTTATACAAATTGAATTTACTGTACGTATACTTACTACCCCATATAAATATTCCCAAAGTAATTCTGCCGCAGCTGATTGTACCCAGTTATGGGCTCTAGCGCTACTTATATACTTATGACAATTAAATTATGTTTTCAGTAATCAGCGTATCTTCATTCGTCTCTTACCTGTTGTTGTTGTAGTTTCTTGTCTAAATGATCGATTTTATCATGCGATTCATTCGGTAAGTCGCTCAATTTATCAGTGAGATCTTTAGCAAATGTTTCATTTTTCTTTTTCGAAGATTCTTCTTCGTCTGAAGTCACTGTCATTTGGGTATATGGCTGTAAAATGAATTAGAATTATCGCTTAACTAACTGCAAGCTACTCTATAGATCGAAGCTTTAAGTTATAATAATGTTATCATTTGGTATTTTGCAAAAGAACTTAGAATGTACACCAAGGGGTTATTAACTCTTGACTGTATTAATAAAGTAGTATATTAAAATCCACTTTTATATTTTATACTTAACATGAAGACTGAAACATCGATGAAATATTCGTTTAGAAATTTGTAAATGAATTTAAGTAGTATATGCTGGATTAGAACCGGAATCGTAGTTTGTTAACGATCTAGTCGTTTTTGTCACGCACAAACTCGTTATTCATGGCCGTTTTTTAATAATATTTTTTTATTCATTTATCAAAATTGAATCAGATTAGCTCTAATACTACTAACTTTTTTTTACACACTATGCAGTCAATTGAAATATAATTATGATTTACTTGAAACAATAATGATAATTTTGTATGTCCAAGAATAATTACAATTTAAAGTGAGTACCTCACTATTTTGTCTGCTATGCGGTGTGGATGTCTCTGGCGAAGATCCCTTATACCAGGCCTCAGCCGAGGGTCCTCTATCAATATCGACTCCCGAATCTCTGCTATCCCTCAACTTTGCGTCCATATCATGGGAAAGGGTTTTCTTGTACAGGAGCTTCTCTATTTTCGTCTCTTCTTGCAGGAAAGAGGTGATGTCTGGTCTTGGAGCCAGGGTTAGGTCCACGTCGAGGTAGCTGTCATCCTGGCCCTCGATACCAAGAAAACTGGTACGTTTGTTACGAATCTCCTTTTTAATACGACGCGCGGAGTTTGCGTGTTTGAAATTTCCCTGAAAATTGAGGATAGCATTAGAAAATGATAAAGTTTGAATATTACGTTCAATTCTAATCCTTTGATCAAGGTCAGTACCGAACCTGTATTTTATAGTTATATAAAATCATTGCCGGCGTAACTAATTTAACTAAGTGCTTGAGACTAAGTGTCAATAAAAAATCTCTGTACGTACATTTCCAAGTAGTTCGTCATCGGGACTTTCTTCTGCTGGTGGTGGTGGCGGTTTTTCCTTGGGTGGCTCTAATATATTTGCTGGTAAGTCCAGCGGAAATGTGCCTGCGTCTACTACATTGTTTTGACCAAATATATCTATGTTTTCGTACAATGGTGTCACTGGCACTCGTTTGTTACCAAAATCTGATTCGGACACCTTGGTTTTTGTTATTTCTACGTTAGATTCATCCAATTTATCAGTGTCACTCATCGTAATGTTTGCACTTTCTTCCGAATCGAGCTCTTTGAACGCTAGTTCTAAAGCGTCTATGACCTGTAGGTATTATAATATTATTAATAGGATAAAAAGATAAGGAACCTTACAAACACCACAAATTTTGTAGAAATTACTCAGCAAAAATAAAAAGATATAATAAATTAAAATGCATGCGAACGTAACAAAATGAAAATGCACAAAATGCGGCGAAGATGCGTGTTAGTATGAAGCGTACTATATATTTCTTACCTTACATTAGCCCATCACCACAAGCTGAGGAATAAATCTAACAAGAAAATCTAAGATAATTGAGCAACGAGCCTATTCGCCGAACCATATCATTTGACTAACACTTAATCAGTGGGCCTGTTTACATATGATATCACTCATAAAGATAACATTCTTGTCGCTCTGATTTTCCTACCTTAGTATGAACGTATTTAAAGCTATTAGCAAAGTAATTATAATTGGCGTTTAGAGAAATGACAATATGAGGATTATAAAAGATTACATAAATAAAAGTCATACATAACATGTAACATATATTTTCGATAATGAATTTACAGATATCACGATAAACAAAGATATCTAAGATGCTAATTTAAAGGATCTACATGAAAAAATAAATATTCATACAATTGACGTACTGGGCACTATGTTACCCTTATTTATCACTAGGCTAATGAAATATGATTTGAATATGTTTGTTAAGTGCTAGGATTATGTTATTTGTTTAGCACGTGATGATTTAGTATTGATAGATATTATGAATGTTACTTTAATTTTGATTACGAACAGTAGTAACAAAATCGATAAAGGATTTGGAAAACGGAAATACTTTGGAATAGTTATTTAGATCTAATACTGACATACAGAACTCTCATCCATCTTGCTATCGCAATACATGAGAATGTGTAATAACAGTTATTATAGAATAACTTGAATTATTTGCTATTATTTAAATTAGCTACAGTTTTGACAGGTAGAACTTTATTATTTATTAGTAAAATAGTTTTTCTTCTATTAGGCTCGACGCTTCGTTTAGTTCTTTTCTGCCAGAATGGATTAGAATCTTGTGAGGTACTTACCGCGTCACCATCACTAGCTGCATTACTGGGAATATTACGAGTATCATTAGACATACATACATTATTAGATGGGATATGGCTAAATTGAGCTACTTCGTGACCTACTCTACGACACTGCGACTGAAATGATACTACGTTAATGGCTTTGTTAATATGCGCGTTTTGTTCGAGTAGTCTAAATGTTTTAATGGAATTTTTTGGCGAAATGTTAGTAGTAGTGGTAATATCAGAGACAGTTACCATAGGCATGCTTTTGTTAGTAGAGTTGTTGCTGTTAGTGTTGCTTGCACTAGTCTCGCTAGCAGCGGTCCCAGCACCAGAGTTGTTACATATCTCATTCAAGTTCAGATGTATGGTCATTTTCCCCTCAAACACCACGGCATCGCCGTCCGACCCCACCGATACCGGCTCATTTAAACTTACACTGGAATCTTGATTTTCCAAACTTTTTAAGGTGTCTTCATCGTCTTTATCGACTTGAATTTCTGTTACATCATCTGTGACACTCAGTTCATCAGGGTGTGACAAAGCTTGTGTATAATTACTTGCACTGTCGGTATCTTCAGTCTTGTTGTCATCACCGAACTCCTCTATGAAGAGATCTTTGTTTTCACTCTCGGGACTTTCTGTAAGCTGTTCTGTAGATTTTTCCATTTTACTTTCAAATGTTAAACAATCCTCATTCGACGATTCGTATTCGGAAACCTCGACCATAGGTTCTCCTATTGGAGAAGCCACTTGGGTGAGATCAGCGATATCATCTGCAGGTGCATAAGAATCTCTAGCGGTATGTATGCCACTATCTTCTGTTTCTATATCACTTGGGATTGTATTGTTTTGCATGTCCGCGCATAAATCTTCTAGACTTTGAACTCTTTCGAACGAGTTGGAAGATGTTTGATCGTTTATATCTAAGCTGTCTAAAGAGCGACAGAAGCTCTGCATTTGACTTTCTATTGCTGTGAGGTTTGATTTTAACACATTGTCGTCGGGAGCTTCATTTTTCAAAGTGTTTGTTGTTTCTTCCGCAGCATTCATTATACTGTTTATTTGTTCTTCCACAGATATCCTAGGGATGTCCTTATTTTTTGCTGCATCGAGACATGACAATCTTTCTTTAAGACTCATTGAAACTTCTTTTACTTCAGTTTTCATTACTTTTACTTCTTCTTCTGATGTTTGTGATTTGAGACTTGACAATCGCTCCCTTAGTGATTTTGTGTTACTTAAATCTCCATTAGAGAGTCGCTTCATTTTTTCAGGCTCAGTGGTTTTAACTTTCTCTAAAGAAGATAAACGCTCTTTTAAAGGTTTCACTTCCGTTGGTAACTTTGTCAGATCACTTGTAGATTTTTGCACTTGGTTTTCTTCTGTGAATTTTTCTAAACTAGACAGTCTTTCTTTAATTGATTTTTTATTCGCAATATCAGGCAATTTAAATTTGTTAACTTGGGATTCCTGCGAGTTTTCCCTTTCAAACTGTTCTCTACGTTTATGTATGTCGACTTTAGGTAAATCTTTCTTTGGATTATTGTTCCTTAAGTCGTTAGATCGCTCTTGTTGGAATGAGAAAAGTTTTTCTTCAATTTTATTACTTACAGATGTTCTTATTTTATGTATATCACCATTCGATTTTTCCGGAGACTTGTCCTTGCTGTTATTATTAACGACAGTTTTGACAATGTTGCTATTTGTAGTCGAAATGATTCTGGACTTATATCCTTCTATCGCACCTTCGTACGTATATTCTTCTGGCTCAGGGGAGCTTATAGTCGTAGTCGTACTAGTGTCGTATTCATTGGCACTGGATCCCACTTTTCGGTTGCCTTCATAATTAGACAGATTGTCCATATCTAAGTGGTTTTTATCCAAATCCATGCCATCGCTCTGAAAACAAATATATTCAAAGTTTTATTTTTTATTTAATACTTAGTATAGTTTAGTATATAATTTAAACGTACACGATTGAATAATATAGTTATAAAAAAGGCTATTATCGAAGAAATGAATTTATTTATATACTTAGTCTACATAAGAAATACATTTATGTATGTAATATATTTCAATAATGTATATTTAATGTACATTATTGAAGGCTGACGAATAATCCAAAATATATAAAAAAACTTTTATTATGTATATTGCCAAAATGTCTACTTACAGCCAAACTCTGCGTGTCACAGTCTTCACTAAGGCTGCTCTTGGTACTGGAGGTTCCAATTCCAAGGTCACTGAGGTCGTGTGCATCATCATCTGTATATAAGGCGAGATGGTTACGCCGTCTCCTTCCAGCCCTGAAAAAAGTTAACCAAAATATTAGTTAATGAAATCACTACATAAAGGAATCCTTAAACGATGGCTCGATCTCATATTTCATACAAAACACATATCCTTTTGGTTTTACCATTTTCAACCTTATTTTTGTTCGTGGATTTTTGGTTTTGAAATTCTTATAAACTCCATTAATTTGTGTTTTTGTTTGTGTGAGTATGAAAGGCCGGGTTAAGCATTTGTCTTCCAATGCAAGTTAGATAATTTAAAACGTACTAAATTTCGCATTACATTATTATGATTTTGTATTATCGCAATATACAAGTATTTTTTATAGTTTTTATATATAAATTTCCCAATATCCCCAACTCTTATGGTGCGGGACCTTATTATATATACATTACATACATTTTGTACAAACATATATATACATACATACATTAAGAAATTTTCCAATATACATATATATATCCATGCATACAAATACATATATAACTACATATTTATATTTTATATTCATGGTCTAGTGGGGGCTAGTGGGCATTATTATTATTTTGTATTATCGCAATATACAAGTATTAAACTTTTATACATATATTCAAGAGACAAATATATGGACTACAAACTCATTTTAATCGGCCTCGATTTAATGTTGGTTTTGATTTCATGCGATTTCATTCTTTATACGTGATCGAAACATAGTAATTTACTAAATTATTTATTTTAATAATATGCTAAAGACGCGTGATACACCAATCGCGTAAGGTGAAGTGATTTCGCAATTGCCATTGCCATTTTCTAAATACGGAGGCAGATCACCAAAATATTACGGCGTTTTAAGATATCAAAGCTAGCAGGTGTCACCATCTTGTTCGAACTGGTTAGAACAATAAATAAAGTTCAGTGTAAGTCACGGTCCCTTATATAATAGTGCCGGTTTGACTGGACATGCGTTTACATACTACGTTAATTTAGGAGTGCTTTCTATTTAAATGTCCAAAAGTGTTACGGGGAAAGTATGGTTTGTTTTCACTCTCGTCTTCACGAATTATGATTTGATGATACATGTTTGGAATAATTTTACGACTAAGTTGACTTTATAATCTATGATTTTACAAATATTTGGTTTCTGATTTCTGGAAATCATTTTAGGAAACGAACGGGTAGTTTTAAAATAACATCAAACAACAAAAACATTAATATATATTACACTAACTAAAATACTCGACAATCATATAATATGTGATAAGTGGGAAATAAGAAAGACCTAGATGACTATGAAAATTATTATTATAAAATTCCTTTAATAATAAAATTTTTAGCTTTAGTTTATATGCCGGGAACCAAACTAATTTAAATTACGTAGTTACTAGAAAGAAAAATTTACAGGTCTGAGGTAATGGTCAAACCTCGCGCTTGGCGTTTAACATGGCTAATGGAAAGTACTACACACGTACGTATGACAACATAGACAAACAAGTTTACATAACAGCATGTACGGCAATTCGGTACTAGTTTACAAAACGTGACCCAAGACCATAATTTTGTACCATTTATTATATCATTGTCTTTGAAATGTGAAATACCTTTCTATTTTTGTATTAAAAACAAGAAGTGATAGAACAAATAGAACAGTAGTTACAAACAGAAAATAATCGTAAAATGTTACTTTAAATTTCAACGACTTTTTATAAGCAGAGCATATCTCACTCATACTTGGTAAAAAGAAAGTAGGGTCGGGTTGTATGAATGTAGATTCGAGTATGAATCGATGCGAAGAAATTGTTTTTGATTTCTTCCTACTAAACAAACATGCGCGATCTTTTACGCCCCCACGCAAAAAAAATTACGTACACGGGCCAAAGCCTCAAAAAGTAAATTTAAAAAAATTGAATTAGAAATAGAAGATACTTAGGAAATTATTTATGTTTTGTTTTGTTTTTTTCGACTTCGACCACCCATCACTTTAATATATATTTTCCCACATTTATCATGAAGTCGTATTAGAAGAATGTTAATAGTCAAAGAACACGGAAAGCGTGTATGCAATTTGTTCGGGAATCGAACCCGCGTCACGAGCTCGTGCCTCTTCTCACGAATCAATTTTCCTGTAGCAAGGATATGCCAATTGCAGGATCGTGAAATCAAAGATTTAAAGTGTTAGGATCAACTATATTTCATTCGATTAAAACAATTCTTAGGAAATGTATTTAGTACTGTTCTAAATAAAAGTAATTTATCCACTGTAAGGCACAAACCACAAAGGTTTTCTAAGTGTGTGGTTAAACTATATGTCTGTTATTACTGCTCATTTTACATTTATGTCTTAATCTTGCGGCCCGTATCGTTTAAGTTGGAACCTCATTTTTACTATTAAAATTACTTTAAGAATTTATATAGTAACAACCTAGAAAAAATAATACTGTATTCGTTGAGAACAATTAGTTCTATCGTTTGATATTCCATTTGCGGACACTTTTTACATAAATTGTAAAATTAATTTATGTAAATGTTTTTAACTAAATCATGAACATGTAGATTGTAGGAACATTATTAACTACGACACTTAACAAAATATAGATAAATAATTGCCTTCAAACTTTCAAATATTTGTTTTTTTATTATTTTTCCTAAAAAAATATTAGATACAAAAGTGAGTGCCAGTTAAGGGAATCAGTATAAGATCCTTTGTGGTACGGTAAAAGTTAAAGTCTTTGTAAATCCAATAGATAAGGAAGAGAATAACACTATAAACTAACTGGCAATGACCACAGAACAAAAAGCGATTCCCGATTCACAGGGAATTTCTCGCGTGTTATGGAGCGGTGCTCGGTATGGGCACGCAAAAACTTGTGGCTCTTCAACGCTTCCTGAGCTGTCGGCTACCAAATAAGTCAAGAGCCGTTTGAAAGCTGAGCTTTTCACATCTATAAGCAAATCGCAGTTCCTAGAACAAAACTGTTATAATGGAAGGTTGCTGTTACCTTTGTAAGCCGCATTTTGATTCTGTAGCATAAAACATATACAGATCTTGACGTTTCAAGTGATATTTAGTTATCGTGGTTAACGGACAGTAATTAAATTTGATTTAAATGTGTAGTACTCGCGTAAACCAACATTAACTTAAGGTAAGGTAGGTAAATTCTATATATAAATAACAAACTACAATTTAAAAAAAAAGTACTGCATTGTTTATATGTATGTATTATATGGAAGTGAAAGCTTCCAGCATTTCCTGGCTCTATTGAGATGCCGGTGCTCGCTGCATTGAATCAGTACATCCCCATCAACATGAATAATAAAAAAAAATACGTTTCTTACGATATATTCGAATTTGATAACAAGTAATTTTTTTCACGAAGCGAAGCAAAACGTTCTCAAGTGTTGTAATAAAAAACGTACACCACAAATGAAATGTCGTGCAAAAATCCACGAATTAACGTACTGTACGTGATCAGCGCACATGTAATGTTGGCAACACTAGAAATGTCGGAATTTCAATTAATCTAACGTGACTATGAAATGCTTGAAAATTGTCACGACAAGTTCATAGACTATTAAGAATAGAGGAACGAGACGTTATTGTAAGATGATTGATGGTTTTAGCATGTACGACAATTTTATTACGTTTTAATTCTCGTACGTAATTCAAAATTGCGAAGGTTGGAATTTATAGTTGTATAAGTATGTACCTTGGTTTAGTTAAAGTTGATATGTGTATATGTGGAGGGTACTAGACCTCGAGGCCGATCCCCTACTCGCTAGACCGGTCAAGTAAAGGCCCTTACAGGTCATACCATCACCCAGGCTTGCCGAATACAGGGAGAGTGGAGGAAGTTGTGCGGCGTCACTAACATGACCTTCAGAAATGAAGAGTGTGTCTAAAGATGTGTATAGAAACGTTTCACAATCGGTTGGATTTAAACTTATACGGGCATATTTTTATGTATTTTAGAACTTAGCATCGTGATTCAAGACTTTTAATATTAGCTTAGGTATAGTTTTTACTTTTTTATTTTGGTTTTGCAATTGTATAAGCGTACATTTTTAATTTTATTTTTTCAATTTATTGAACTGTGTCCAGTTTGTGTTTCCACCACACCAACTTCTTTCTATTTAAGATCATGTATATAATAAATAAATAAAGTAAATAAAAGTAAAGTTATGCACTCTATGCACTATATTTGTATTTCACAGTTTCTTTTTCCTTACTAGGGTTTGAAGAGATAGCTCGTTAGCGATAAGGCTGATCGCTGCCTCCTTAATTTATGTTATTTGAATGTATATGTATCAAATATGTAATGCAAAACAAAGTGTTAATAAAAAATTTATTAAATATTACATCGAGATAAATATGCACAAGGCAATACTAATGTATCTAGCAGGTTGTTATTACGTGTATTTAAGCAACAATGAAGTACGAGGTTCTGTAAAGTATTTTTATATGAAAAAGACGTTTAAGTTTTATTTTAAGTTAGAATTTACGTAAACCAAACAATATAACATAAAATATAGTAACCAGTTCTTGTAATCATATTGACTTTTTTATTATCTGTGATTATAGCCCATTTGACATATCTAATTACAGATCGACACTTTAATACTATTTAATGATTAACTTTATAAAGATAGTATAAAGACGACGTTATAAAGGACACATAAATGATATTTAATGGTGTATCATTACGTTGAGCGCCTACTTAAAATGCAGCGTGAAAAATATAATAATTGACCGTGGTTTAAACTGGTATCATATCGGTAGGGTAAAAGTGATAATGTAGCTCACTAATAATATATTTTAGATTAAAACGAACAATACAAAAGTGTATGTGAGAATAACTAAATATATTTTTTTTAATAATCATAGAAACAGATTATTCAGCAAAATATGACACAAGGAGATACATAATTACTTTTATACAATACTGGATGAACGGTGAACTTAGTATCACCTAACTTAGTGTCAAAACTTAATACAAAATTTTTAAACAGACCAAGTGATCGGATCTCATACTGCAGATATGAAACACAAATTTCTGAAGGCATCTAGATGATAAATGTATGACAAAAAACATCAAATATTTCCCAGCTAATTAAATTGGAAAATTCAATTGTCGGTTTTTTTTTCTCCCTCTTTTAAACCTTCCTTGAACTTCCACAAATATTTAAAGATCATGTCCAGCCATTCTCGAGTTTTAGCGAGACAGTTTAAACAGCAATAGGTACATTAAATATTAGATTGTAACAAAACAGATTACGTTATTATGCATAAGAGTATTAGGCAAACGAAGTAGCGAGCTCAGACTATTTCGTTAGATTATTTAATACTTGTGAAAGGAAAGATTTATATTTTGTATGTATTCAACGAATAAGCTAAAAAACTATTAGACCAATTTTAAAAATTATTTCAACACTGGAATTGCTAATTGGTGACATACATAAGCTATATTTCCAAAATAAATTAAAACCTCGTAGATGTACGGGCCGTATTAACGAATATTAAAAAAAACTGAATTAAAGCAGCAGCTACAGTTGAATCGTTACAGTCCTTTACTATGCACACATTCCTTTATCGATAGCGAATTGCAATGGTTATCGTAATGACGCGGAAACATACATTTCCCTGCTTAAATCATTCCTTATCGCATTTACCTTTAATTTTCATACTAACATTCAATAATACGAATCACAAGACGTGTACATTGTGTTACCTACGTGAATAAATGATTTTTGAATTTTGAATTTTTTTGAATATTTTCATTACCGTCAAATATCTAATAAAAACCGAGTCGTTTATATATTTTTTTAAATTATATTATATCGTCTGGAGGACCAACTTTAGGCTTTATTTTTGGACCTTTATAGTTCTACATTGGCCGTGATTGATTCATCGAAGACTTAACTCACCAGAGTGAGTAAAATCTCTGCAGATTTGGGTCACTATGGGGTTATTATGATAAGCAAGGCAAGACTTACTTAAAACATTACTTATCATTATAAATACTTGTATATACTGTGGGCTTCAGATTTCGGTATTTGTTCCGTAATTTCTAATAAGCAAGTGACACACACTGTGGACTTTTTGAGTCTAAGGCATGCCGGTTGCACCGTACGGGCGAGTGTTAAATGCGCACATAGACAGTAAGTCCATTGGTGGATAGTCGGAGATCGATCCCAAGACACCAGGGATGAGAGTCACCCTAGCGTAGAATGCCTGGCAAAACCCGAAAGCCCATCTTAAAGGCGTGTGAAAGGCTGAGGTGTTTTTAGGGTGGGTTCACGCTACCCCTCTGAATAGCAGAGGGATTTGAGTGTAGACCCAGCCCCACAGTCCCCGTGTCAAGCTAGACACCCATGGCCTGCGTAAAAAACCTGCGTTTCAGCTCATTTAAAAAAATGGGGTGAGAGTCGCACGTTGAAACCACTAGGCCAACACTGCTCTGACAATTATAAAATACTCATAAACGAAAATTAACGAAGACGCAATTACAATTAATGAAAAATCAAAATCACACACTAAAAGACTACCTACCACCACAACCAAATGGTCGTCAATCGTATTATTAATAATACGATTTCTGTGACCCTTATTCAATATACGATGTACCTATACACGTCCCGAAACTTCATATTACAGGAATTCAGGAGTACATATCTTAATAAAACACTTGACCAATGAGTCACAGAGGATAAATTTATAGTATTTTAAACGATGTATAATGATGCTAATTACGTATCAGCTACTTGCTTTAACTGCGAAATTGGTTCGCGTGACTGAGTGCAATGTTACATGTCTATTGCTATGAAAACACTTTGAAAATATATTATGTAATCGTATTAAGATCTTTTAAAGAACTGTAAAAAGTGGAATGTTTTCTGAAAGCCATTATTACGAAAACGTTTTGGCCAGTTCTTCTTGCCCCCTCTACGCCCTTGACTTGTTAACTGGTAGTAAATGTAAATTTACAATTAATTTTACTTTTTTTACATTCATAAGTGTACCTACTTGTATACCTATATGAAGAAAGATATTTTGAGTTTGAGTTTGAGCGTGCGACTTCCATCCCTGAGGTCATCGATACCAGGCCGTGCACCAAAGGACTTTCTGTCTATGTTCTGCACCGTACGAGGTGCAGGTGCTGAAGGTAAACGTGGAAAAATAAACGTGTGTGTTCATGTACACGCGTTGGAAGTTATACTTTTTTGGTGTAACAAGATAAAAACCTTTTCAAAAATTTTAATATACGTTAGTAGAAAAAACGACACTAACAATAGAAAAAACTAAAATGTTGACTATAGCTAACTTCAGGGTGTCGGGTTTTTGTGGCGGTATGCGCGCGCATCGTAAAAATTTACTCTCATCGTGTTTCCCTAATCGCCAAAAGAAGTATAACTTCAAAAATCGAAATAACAAATAAATTCGTTTCATGACGAAACGGAAGCAATCTGAGGCCAATCTATGGATCTTCATAGAGGGTTATAGCGCCACTTGATTATTATTACTTTAATCGAGATTATTGAGTTATTAATTTTTAATCTTGTCTTTTATCAAATGAGAGCTTTAAGCCGCAACATTGTAATTCGTCAAACCTAATTTCATAAAGGATGATATCGAGGTTTCAAGGCTGTGTTTACATAATAAAATAATAAAACCCGTTTAATTTATGTTTACATAGATTCAATCTATTTAGATTGAGATTGTACTAGTTAGTACTTCCTGTGGAGCTTCCTAGCGGTTATCTCGTGAGAACGCGCTCTCGCAATTACCAAAGAGGGCAGATGGACATTTATCAATGGGATTCTGTGTGTAATTAAATGTTTGGGGTGGTAGGTTTCAGATAGTGTTCGGCTGTGCTTTTTTGTGGGGCACGCACAAAGGAAATCTCTATAGAAATTGAAAAAATAACAACACCCTTGGTAAGTATAAGAAAGACTTTAATAGGTCACAAATATTAGTAGAAAATCCTTCAAAAAGTTTTGGATTTACAAAAATCACGAATTAGCGTGCCTCCCAAAAAGAAG